TGTGTGGGGAGGTGAAGGGAGAGTGTGTGTCCATGTGAGGGAGCGTGCATGTGTATTAGGTAAGAAATAAATGCATTACTACACAAATGTACTTATCATGTAATGAGTTAAACATTGAAAGCTTTTTTGAGGGCAAAAATGTACTACCGAGTCAATGGGCACATGAACAAGACATGTTTAGACCATGTCATTCATCTTTTCTTTAAAAAGGAAATAATCCTTTTCATTCAAACAGTGCAGAAGTGGAAAAAGAGACATGGGAAGACTTTTTCAGCTAAAAGCCACCTAGCTAGAGACTGAATGAAAGACATGGCCTAATGCACATTTCTATGTGAGGGCCTGTTAAAACAACCCATATGTCAGTTTACCAAGTTTTGCTCTAGGGCTCAAAAAGTGTAAAAAATAGTCATCTAATGCCCAAAATGAAGTTCTTGCAAAAATATAATATTGTTAAAAGTAGGAAGGATGAAGCCTAGTCTAATTTCTAAAGACTGAAAATGATTGCCTTTGAAGTAAACCATGATATAAAATGTGTCACTATGAGGTGGAATCAGGCACTCGTCAATTTTTTGGCGTATGGAGTTATTGCTATCATCTTAAAGCATGTCCATTTGCCTTTCTTTTGATGAAAACAATACACATTTATCTTGAATACAAGTCGAGATACTTGCGATTGAAGGAGGTGGGATCGCCTGGTTTCAGAGGTAAAATTAGCAAGAAAATGGCTGCTAAAGTTTAGTAAATTCCTCAGCTTGAGAGCCCATAGAAACTGAAAATTTACATCTTTTATGCATTTAATCAACGTTTTTCTGTATAATCCACATTGAAATGTGTTTTTAAAGGGCATAAAGGATGTTGACCAGAAAAAAAAAAATTCAATAAAAATTCTCAAACCTGCGGGAAAATGCCAGTTTCTTCACTTTCTTTACTTTGACGAGTGCCTGATGTCACCATGCTGCCTCACAAATGTCAAAAACAAAAAACTCTACATCTTATTTCTCAATTGCACACCTTACTACTTTGTCTCACAAAATCTGTCATCCCTCCAATCTTTTACAGATACAAAAATTGAAGTAAATTTTTATTTTTTTTAAAACATATCAATAATTACTTGTTCCGTCAGCAATGACTGCTTTCTCAACGTTTATAAGAAGTAATGAAAATCAGAGTTGTTCTTACAGGTGTGTTCATGTACACACACACACACACACACAAAATCAGAGTTGTTCTTACAGGTGTGTTCATGTACACACACACACACACACACACACAAACACACACACACACACACACACACACACACACACACACACACACACATACACACACCACACACATGTGTATACACACACACATAGATCTACATATCATACTCAGTAGATGTACGAGTGATGTGATACTATGACGGGGAATATAAAGAGAAAACATTATTGCAAGAAGGAGCGGTAAAAGTATGCAACACGTGCTGAAAACATTTCGACTAAAACCTGACAAAACTCACAGCAACGGTAAGTTTTTGCTTTGCTTTTGCCTCATATAATATGTTTGTTACTTGCTACATTGTACTTTAAAGAAAGTTTTGCTAAGGAAAAAAACAACCTACATCCGCTATACATAAAAATACTTATAAGCATTACCATGTGACAGACTTGCATTGTTTTTTCCTGTTTGAGTAGAGAGGTGCACATCGACACAATAATTACCATTCAGTGCAAGGAAAAAGAAAGACACACTGATGGAAACAACAGAGAGATAGAAAAGAAGTAGGACCAACCAGCGGCTCCCTCCAACCACCCACTTAAAATCTGCAGTCAGTTAGATCTGTGTCAGTAAAACTCAAAGATACAAAAAAGAGATAAGCTGAGTCCCATTGAAGTGGTCTCTAGGGCAAGAAGCAAACTCTACTTCAACCATTCTGTCCACAAATAAATAATAATAATAATAATAGATTGCATTTATATAGCGCTCAATCCCATACTAGTAGTAGTAAAAGCTCTGAGCGCTTTACACCACCATAAAGGTGGGTTGGGACAATTTATGTTATGCCACTGGTGTGAACTGCAAGCCTGTATTGCTGCTTTGAAATGTTTGAAAATGTTGGGGGGGGGGGGTTTAAGGCAGAGCGCATACACATGAAAAACTTATAATGATGAATGCAATATGCATAAGAATGTGTGAGGGTGCACAAACATAAAGCACTTAATCACAAGTCTAAATAAATGGTGGTAACCTTCAGACAGCAGTGCAATAAACAAACACTCTATATGATGTGCCTTCAAGCAGCGTGCAAGATTCAAATATAAAAAAAACGTGTCATGTGAAATCAAACATTCTATCATGTGCTTTGTTCTCACTAAAGCAGATACCAAAAAAAAAAATTTTAACAATTGCACATTTTTCTAATCTTTTAATATTTGACTGGATAAAATCAGGGACCGGCCATAATAGAACAAGGACATACGTAATAAGGCATATAAAGCTCTCATCTCTTTATGAGCTAGCACGAAAAATATTGCTAGTGAATATCAAAGCACCTCGGCTCCAAGACAATCTAAATCGTATCGATGGGGGTGTCAAACATTTACAATGAATCAGGCGTGCCCAGTTGTTACTTCAATTTGAAAGAGTCAAAGGAGTCTTTTATTTGCAATTTTATGCTTGAATTCCACTCAATAAAAATTAGTTGAGAAGTGTTGTTTAGTTTGGTATATCCCCCCACCCCCCAAACCCTTTTCATTCTCTATTTATACTTTAAAGAGGTTCATATTGTAGGAAAAACTGTGCTCAATTTTTTCGTCAGCCAATTAAAATTAATATTTGTATCACTTTCTTAATTAAAGAAAAATGTTATAGATAATATGACCAAAATCTTCACTTGCATATAAGTTTCCATCGCAAAATAAAAATTGCCATGATTCTCAATTTCAGAACTCCCTCTTAAAATTGCTAACAAAAACTCAGCACTTGCTATGAAATCAATGTATTTTTTTTTTTTTAAAACACACAGGGTCTACATCAGAATACTAAAATAAGAAAATATACAAACCGTAAAGTCCCTTGTCTTTGTAATGATAGAAAAGCACATAAAATACATTAATAGAGACTATACAAAAGCAAGTGCAGAATCTTCAGTCAGCATCGAATGCAGATTCAATACTCAAAAAAAGTCATACACATTTCAAGCTTGTGAGGTGATTACACTTAGTAGTTTAGATCACCCATCACCACAGTGATCATTTTTCATGTTGAGTATTTTATGATAATATTATTGGTTAAAGAGATTAACTTAATAAAATTATGTTTGTGTGTGGATCCAAGATGGAAAACACAATTGAAGGTGAACTTTTTCAAAACTAACTTTAAAAAAAAGTTTCAAAAGACTCATCCTTCGAGAGCATTTGACATTTTTTTGGGGTGCAATTAGAGTAGGCCTATTCTGTAAAGACAAAGCTCTTCAAAGTGCACAGGGGATCAAAGGATACTTTCAAGGAAACAAATTTGAAAATTGTCCATAACGTCCAGAAACAAAGAGTGAAATACAAGATATGCTGGTTTTTCTATTTTCTTTTTCAGCTGCTATACTATTTTTATGCATTGGGGTTACCTGGGAAGGCAGGGAAATTTCCTTTAATGTGTTATGTTACAATCAGAGGTTTGCATGATAATTAGCATCTATCAATAATAGTAAACAGTTACAATTTTCTGTAAAATGTGTACCTTTTAGGCCCTTTTGAATTATCCTTTAGAAATACATTATCTTTCTATTTTTCATAAAACCTTGTTTGTAGAAGAAAAGGAAGAGAAGGTCAACGCTTTCAATGATATTTGAGTATAATGTTTTGCACCTCCGCACAGTTTTTGTTGGTGCCACACACATATATATCTCTCGTTGAAATATAGTGGGTTCAAAGCAGTATGTAATGAGCACCCTGTCAACCTTTGACACCAGCAATCTAAAAGAAAGAATCGGAGTGAATTTACATTTGTTTTTCCAATAGCAACAAACTGAGAGCTGCCAAAGTCTCTTACCTTGACGAAGAAGCCATGGGTGTTGTTCGTGAAGTGGAAGAACCTTTCTCATCATCGCTATCTTCATCATCCTTTACAGAGAGTAAACATAGAAAGATACAGATTTTATTTACTACAATGGAAGACTAACAATAATCTCATCATGTGCCGGAACAGCACAATCAAGCAGCAAGGTATGATATGCACACTCATTGTATGGTTCAGTAGAAATCTGACCAAAAAAAAAGTTCTCAGCTTTATGGGATGGTGGCAGCGTTCTTGTGAAGCATGCCTTATAATTCTAAATATCTGATGTTGTCGTGAATAGTTTCTCTGTCTTCAGTCAAGAATTCTTAACTCTTTAGAAACGTAGTGAACACATATGTCCGATCAGCAGCAGACCAAAAGCAATGTTGCAGTTTATTTGAACAATTATACATAAACCAAAAACACGAAATTTCATATTCATAGTATACATGTTATTGCCTGAGTCTTTTAGCTTCAGATAAAGAAAACAGAATGAAAAATCTTTAAGACTATAGAAATTGTACTTAAAAACAACGCTCCTTTAAGTGCTGTCGAATAACCAGAATATGCGTCCTCAATGAGTAAACCCATACAGGATCAGGCTACTTTTAGCACTCATTTTCCTCTAGCACAGGTAATAATGGAGTCCTAGACCCACAGGCCACATCAAACCAATTTTGTATGGAATATTTTATAGACTTTAAAAGAAGCTCTTTATAGCTTTTGTTTGAAGTTTTATCAAACAAATAACATGTAGAACAGTTTTCAAAGACAATTGGGTTTAAGATGGCCAGTGCTTTTGAAGGAAATATACGTGAATGGGTTTGAGGGAAGATTTCAAAAGGCTTGAGTTTTTTATGTCTAGCATAGCTAGAGTTTAGTGTCAGACTGATACCGATAGAACTCAGCTCATTACCCTTCACTTTTCTCAACTTTTAAGTGCAAATAACTCCAGAGGATACACTAATTAGTAACTTTACATCTCTATCTATCATTGCCTACCTCATCCTCGGAATCTTCATCATCCTGAGCATGGTATGATGTGACCAGGTGATCAAGCAGATTCTGAGCAGCTGAAAACACTAGATGGCGCAGCAGATCTTGCAGAATGTAATCCACACAGCGCAAGAAGCAGGACAGCCGGGACAAGATCTTACGCCACTCAGCAATTTCAGCATACAGAGGTTTGTTCTCTGGGATGAGTAACAAGCCAAACTTTGTTATTGCAAGTACTACGCAAATGTAAATGAACAATTAACCTTCTATCACCCCTACCCACCATCTGTGGAAACACAACGTTTAATGGGTCAGATATAACATACAAAAATATTGTAAAATGTGTAATTTTTAAGACAGATATTATGCTAAAATGGAGCAATCAAGGTGCAGAATAATAGCTTGACTCAGGCAATAAAAGTCAGACAACATCTATAACGCATCCTCATCAGTTGGTTGTGGTGACTTCTTTCATTTTGAACAAGCTGTTTTCGTTTTTTCATGATATATAAGTGGTCCTAATCAAAGTTACTTTTAGCACAGACTAAGTTGAGAACAATTCAAGAGATTCTCCTTATCGTGACATATAGATTTTGATTTTGGTGGAACTGCACTTAAAATGTGATAGGAGCTGAAACAAAAATGAACCAGACATATGAAGCGTAGTCTATTATCTATTCACTTACAGATTTCAAAAGTGGCCGGTATGGAACCTTTGGGAAAGAAAGGGCCTTGCCATCTTGAGTTTAATAATACTGATGAGTAGGAGGAGGAGTTTAGTAAACTTTTTTTAGTTTTATTACACAGTCTCTTCCGTTTCATTAGCAAATCAGTTCAGTCGTCCCCTCAACAGCAATAAATAAATAAGATGTACCTAGGCTTTTTCTATTTCATATCTTAATAACCAGTTTGAAGCAATATTTATGGACATATCAAAATCTATTCAACCTTTAGGGCAAATGCCGCTCTTTGATTGAAGATATCTTTGAGATCAAACATTTCAGCCAGTAATAAACCCCCTCTCACCTTTTCCCCCAATATTAAACAGGATACCACACAGCATTTGAAACTGATGCTTTTAATCAAAAGCTCATAGTTCTAAAAGAATCACAGACAGACATACAAAAAAGTCAGACAGTAATCCTCATAATTTGAAGTTTATGGTTTTTATCAACCAGACGTTGATTCAAATCTTGAGAAATGATACACTTTATTTTGCATCTTATGTATAAAGAAATCATAGTTCGATAGGCAGTGCTCCCTATGCACCTCTTCTATTCCATCTCTCAGTAATAACAAGAAATTGAGTCAATACAATATGATGTAAAATTCTGAATACATGGCATATTTTATGTTGTTTAGATATAGTATAACTTTGCTTTTGATCACCCTTGATTTAAAATGAATATGAGTTATGTCTTAAAAGCCCAGTCACATTATAAACCCTACAGCACTGTATCTGTCAAATGTACCCAGTGAAAAAAAGTTGAATAAATCGGTATGAATTTTTCACTTTTCTGAAACACATTGTTCGAGCTGAACTCATAAAATGACATATTGAGATATACTCTCATGATTCAAGTCCTAACGACCAAATCATAAATATCAAAAAGCAGTCTCTTCTATATTTTTCCAAAGTTCACTCCAATTACTCACTTTTCTCCTCTTCTTCTTTCTTGGTCAGGTTCCCATCACCAAAGGTTTGTCGAATCTTGAGGCGGTTTTGCTGACTGGCAGCTAAGGCAGCCTTAACAGCCGCAGACTTCACAAGCACCTTGCGGTCACCTTCCTCCCGGATGCCCTGGGTGATGCCTTCCATCTCTGCCACAGTCTGAAATATTCTTGCAAAACTATTGAAGCTGCCACTTTATTAACTAACTGATACCAGTAAACTGTCACATTTAGGAAATAACTATAACAGTCTCAATGCATCCATATTAGAGGAGGAAAATCATACATAAAAATATTTTTTTTTAAATTGATTCAGTAACATAGGACCTACATGTACAAAATGTCTGATGTGTAGCAGATCTTTTCTTTGAAATGGAGCCTGAAATAGCTGACTATGGTCAATTTTGCACTTAACCTATTTTGACGTGAAATCATTTTCTCAGACATAATTTAGACCAAAGATTTTGAGTGAAGCCATTTATGTTTCTAACATGCTTGTTTTGAAAGATGATAATGTCTTATTGAAGAACATAGTCGAAACAGTTACAGCCACTATTTTGCTACATTTCAAATTTGACATTATGCTCTTATTTTCCAATGTTCTCACTTATCTACACAACATTTTTTACCACATGCTCATTGACATACATTTTGAAAAATTCTTAAATGCATGACATTATTTATGTGTGTGCTTCTGTGTTTGTGTGTGTGGTTTTTTATTTGTTTTTGTGCGTGTGTGTGTTTGTGTGTGTGTGT